TTGCACTGATTTGCCTGCAGCAGAGAAACAACAACAGACAACTGTCCACCAAAGACTAAGCTAATAGTCATGGATGGGTGGCAGATCAAGTCCCAAATGTGCTTTTGACAGCCGGGCTCAGACATTCCCCCCCCCCCCCAAGAAGCTCAGAGCTGAGCCACAGGACGGCAACTTCCAACGCGAGGTCGCCATGGTCAGCGCTGAACGGGGGCAGATTGAAGGAGAGAGGAGGAAGGGGTGGAGAAGGAGGGGTGTGGATGGGTGGGGGTGATGGGTTGGGGGACAGAGGACAGTCGTTACTGTCAGCATCCATCAGGGAGCCCAGGGGTGACATGGGAGCAGGCAAGACAGAAGAAATATAGCGAAGAAGGAGAATGAGGAAGAGGAGAGGTCAGGGCGGGGAGTCAGGCCCTTAACTAGTCACCCCTCAGCCCTCCAGTACACTTGTTTGCTGTCCCATACCCCACACCACCTCCTCCCCTCCCCTCCCCTCCCATCTACATCTGTTCTCAGTGCAGATGTGCAACCCTGCGGCTGCTGGATTTCTCGACATGTTCTTCTGTACAGGGCCGTTCCAGTTGTCTTGCACGTTTACCACTTTAAATACAAATTATGGCCACTTCACATTACTGATGACTATTTGCCAAAACATATAATTTATGGACAGGAGGAAAATGAAAGGAAAAACTTGAGCCACAAAAGGTCACTGAATGGTTTGATGAGTATGAAAATAGGACACTTTATGTTGTTTGCTTTAAACAAATATTTTCACATTTGGGATATAGAGTTGGATTCAAGCCTTTTATTTCACTTCATTTGAATTGCTAAATAAATCAGAGATGTGGTGTGGGAATCAGAGGTCTGGAGTCTTTTTCTTGGGTGGAAATTCTACAATTTTAATTGAAAAAATCTCAACCTCAAATCTAAAAACTATGGTCAGTAGTAATGTAGTCAATTTGAAATTAGTAGGCAGAAAAAACCCCACGAGAATGCTGAGAACTCATTATTTAAAGTCTAGTTTGCTCACAGTGTGATTGAAACCCCTCCCATCCTTAAGTTCAGCTCCACCTTACCCTCAGATATAATAACATCTTCAGGTTGACTTAGATAATAACCTGCAGTCTGACGGTGGAGACGTTGTCTGCCCAGTTTTCAGATCCTAGAAGGAAAAACATGTTTTGCTGCCTCTGGCCACTGCTGAGGGCTGCAGCCCAGACATAAACAGCAGTGTGGCTGGGCAGAGGAAACTGGCAGTGAGACAGACAGCTGCCAACGTGTCTACTGTGCTGTGACACTCAGGTGAAGACTCACGTTATAACTCACAGAAAACAGAGACACCTGTTGGGGATTCAGCATTTATTTGGCAAATCAGAACTTAAGGAATGATTACATGAGCTCACTGTGTGTGGAGCTTTTTAAGTCTTCATATCAAAGACTCCTCACCTCCGCCCCCAGCTCACCCCCTGCCAAAAAAAACATCTCCGTATTAGACCATGGACCCCGTTTAATTAGATTTAAAAAATGTTATCCTTTGGAAACACATCTGAGAAGACTGTTGTTGTTAAATATAACTTCAGAATTATATAACTGTGAGTTAATGCCAGCAGAGTGAAGCATATTCAGAATAGTGCTTGTACATATTGTGCTGATGATTAGGGAGTAAAATAATAATAAATAGTCAAATTTAATCTGGATTCCTGATAAACAACCGCTGGGGGGAGGGGCTGGACCCCACTTTGGCAACTACTTTGGCTAAATATGATTGTCGCTGTATATATAGAACCAGAGACATGAAATCCTGTTCATGTAGAAGTAACTATTGGTAAAAAAAAAAAAAAAAAGACAAATTAATAGTTCCATATGTTGAGAAATACACTTATTTGTTTCCTTGCTGAGAGTTAGTTAGTTAGTGCCACTGTTATATCTGTCCATTCAATATGGCACCAGGAGACAGTGAGCCTAGCTTTGCAATAAGACTTGATGGCCTGGCTCTGTCTTAAGGTAAAGAAAAATGCGCATGCCAGCACTTTATTTTCACATTATATCTAATATGTTTTATCTGTGTAAAAATGTAAATGTGAAATGACTATTTTTGCTTTTACTGGGGTTATGTGCTGGACCATTTCTTGGCAGAAGGTAGTGACTTCCTGCAGGGTTACAGTGATATCAAGACTTTAGGAAATTACTGCCAGGATATTGCCCCGCTCAAAACTTTTCATTTGTGTTAATTAGTGAGCTTGCTCATACTAGCTTCATATTTACTAAAAGAGAGTAATATCAGTTTTCAAATCTGCCTCTTGGCAAGATAAGCATTTTCCCCAAAATGTTGAATTTCCTTTGTATAAAGATGAAAAAAGATAATATGACAATATCTACTAGTTGCTTTAAACACGCACTTGTAATCTTTGTAGACACACACACACACACACACACCCTCAGAAACGAGTCTTTTCTACTGCCATTTATCTTGATAACGTTACACTGTCAGACAGACCATTAGCAAACTGTTGATTCATTCTGGGTCAGACAATACTGATAAAGTGGTCTTGTTTAAACAAAGTCAGTACAGCAGACAGCCAAAAACATACTGTATGTGTGTGTGACACAGAGAGAACCATTTTGGAACAGACAGCGCTGATAGATAGATAGACACACATTCGCACATGCACACGACAGGACAGAACCAGACAGACGGGTCCTTATACACAGAGAGTACTCCTCATGAAGCAGGGAGTGTAAGACAGGGAGTGCCCGAAACACACACACACACACACACACACACACACACACACACACACACACACACACACACACACACACACACACACACACACACACACACACCAGACAAAAACAAATGTGAAAGTACAGGGTTAGAATTGGTACAATAAACACTGAGTGGAGTCACAAGTGTGTTTACACAGTTGAAAGACCGGGTTAGAGCCCATTTTTGCATAATGTTGAGTGTGCAAGTGTATATTTCACTCAACATTTAAATAAAACAAATATTGCTGCGGTCACATAAATAACTTGTTTTCATGTGTAAGTGTATGTATACACTGACATAACTGTGTGTGAGAGTTCATATTTAGGTGTAGTAGGTGTTTTCCTATTTCTCTCCTTTCTTGGAAAAACCAGAAGCACTACAGCTGTTTGTTTTTAGTGTATTTAACAGAGATGATCTATTTGTATTTTTGTGTTGTTTTCACTTTGAGGGACTATCTTGGTGTTTGGTGTTTTGGTATAATGTGGCCACCCAGTGTTTGTCCCTATAGTATCTATTTTTAACAACCCTATTTCACTTTCCAGAGATGTAGGACATCATGACACATCATGTATAAAACATTGATGTCTCTTTCTAGTACATTTACAGTTACAGAGTGTTGATATCCTGTTCAACCATATTTTATGACATATTTCTGTCTTCGAATGTAGCTGTATTCTCTATTATTGTATTGTATTATTATATTGTTTGTCTTGACATCACACTGACAAACTGTGATCAAGGGAAATTCCACTCTCATTGAACTTTGTTGTATTGTTTTGGACATTGTTCCCACAGGTGACAATAACAATGTACTCACTATGTTAATTAGTTAGTCTCTTAGCTGGAAGGGAAAACAATTTCAAACTGTCCAACTTAGTGCTTCACCTCTGGCCTACTGTACTTACAGCAGATTCACACACACAGACACACACACACACACACACACACACACACACACACACACACACACACACACACACACACACACACAGTTTTCCTGTGCAATGAAAGGTTATTACTTATAGTTTGGGTGTGCTCATTTTCAGTTTTAACTCAAAATAAAGTCGTGTGGCTAAACATTTGCTGTGTCTACAGTCAAAAATAAGACCTAAGGTGTAGTAAACTGGAATTTTCCTTTAGCTATGGGCTGTTTATGGGTATGAGTTGTGTATCGTAAAAATCTATTGCTTGTTGGATTCTTGTCATGAGCAGAGGAAACTGAATGAAGGTTTGGAAACCTCAGTCTGCGAGACTGCGGCTCAGAAACTACAACAGGAGGAAGCTTTCACAACCGATGTTCAGGCTCTGCTAGATAACGGGAATCTGCAGTGCTTTGAGTGTCTGTGATGTGCGTCTCTTTCATAACACAGTAAACATTTGCAGGTTTCAGATGAGGCAGATTCCAAGAAACCTGTCTGTAAAAGTTTCTTTTCTTCCCACATTTTTGTTTCTCTGTTTTGCTTCTTTCATTAAATTTCATTTCTTTTCCACAAAGTCCCACAAACTACATACAGTTTGATAAGTGAAATGCGCAAACATGTATGCGCACACACTTGCAAACGCACGTTACCATGTGGTAAATATGGTTAGATAATTTGCAAGTCTTAAATTAGATCATTTCGGTAAGCCTGCCTGCTGACCTCAGTGCTCCTGGTTCCAGAGAAAAAGGCATACAAACACAGTTCTTTGAAAATCCTCCCCCACACTTGTGTTTTCACACTTAATGACAAAAACATAAACCACATTTCCCCAGAAGCAAGCACAAAGACTGGAATGGGTGGACCTTTGTAAAAAACTGACTCTGGGAGACAGGAAATAGAGATCTTCAATTGAAAACTAGCCACGAGTGGCCAGACATTTTCTCTGTTGCTTGATCTTGCCTGATAAGCTGATACTGCTGGCCTTTAATGCTGGTCAAGAAATAATTAGGGGAACTACAGTATTTCTGGGTCACTGAAACTGGTAGTGACTCAGCTAAACAGACAAACAAATGTGCACACTAACCCATGGATCTATGTGGGAACATCAAAGCGTGATATGACGCAACTGACATACGAATGAGCAGAACTCCTTCGGATTACACCATAAAGCATTATTATGGCTTTATCAGCATGTGTTTTCCATGCTAAAATGATTCTGAGATACCCAACTTTACGTACTCAATTTCAACATAGGCCGGATCTCTTGTCAACCTAATTGCATTGTGTTTTGGTGATTACCTACTAATCCTCAGTCCGGTGACTGACTGCCCAACAGCGAATGTGCCCGAGTCAGCAGGATGGCATCTTTGACTGTGGCGAGGAGCCAGAGCACTTAAGCCTGCAGCACCTCTCCATATTGTTCTGTCTGCCACACAACAAAACCAGGGCCTCCACTGCAAAATACAGCCAAGAGCAGCCACTGAGCTGCAGACAGACGGGGCAGGTCAGGGGGCTGTTGGTGTACAAGTCGGTCAGTCACACAAACAAATCTTTGGTTATATTTGTGTAGGATTTGTCTGTGTTGTGATATATCTGGAATAATGACCAGCCACAGAGAGGCCACACTGGCAGCTGCCCCAGAGGTGAGTTAGTGTCATTTTTAATGTGTTGGGCATTTATTTTATTGTGTTAAAGTGATTTGTAACAGACTTTTCAAATGTTACTGATACAGGACACACAGACGGATAATACAAGGTCCAGACAAGAACAAGAGGAGAAACTGATCCTGACAGCCTGGCAAAGCATGGTGAGTACATGAGGAAAGAAAATCCTTAAAACTCAAGGACTGTTTATCAGAAGTACATGAAAGCTGTACTGAAAGGTTTGTAGGGATGTAACAATATCCTGTGCTGTATTGTTCAACAAAATACACACGCAAATTTATGGTGACTCAAACTGTTCAAACATGTAAATGCACAAGCGGTTGCGTAGATGAGACAATATTTATTTTTGTCACATCTCTAATTGTTTTTGTGAGGAAAGCAAGGCTTTTGTTGATTTGTCTCATTCTAAAGATAGAATTTCCCACATCAAATCAGTGTTTTTTTTCATTGCACCAATGGCCAATTCCCTTGTTCTGCAATCTTTGTCACTGGTGAGTCCACTTTTGGCCATTTTGGGGGAGGATGTGGACCAACAAGTGCTTCCTCTAATACCCAGAGTATCTCGTTTTAATCTACAAGCTTCACCAGAAGAGCGGCTTGTACACAGAGGTTCACGTTATCCCTCACTGGCTTCCCTCAACTAAGAGAGCGATTAAGCCCTGGTTTTAAACATGCACACTTCCGAATGTTATTTGTTTACTCAATATGGTGTAAGGCAAGTGTCAGTAAGTAAGTAGTACTATTGAATTGTTTCTGCTGGTACAGTAGAGTAATAATAGTAGCAGGAGTACTTATTAATATGAACGATAGCAGGTGTCAGTCCCGTCTGGTCAACATGCATAAATGTTAGTATTAGGAGTGTTTCCACTGACAGCTGACAGTAGTTTTTGCCTCTTGCAGTCCTCAGCTCTACAGCAGCACAGTCTGTCTGAAAACTCCAGAGCTCCAGGCCTGGCTCAGTCTTTCCTGTCCAAACAGAGGCAGTCCACCCAGGCCAGGAGGGCGCTCTCCCCCCGGCTGCAGCCCAGGTAGGACCCTCCATCCGCAGTGGGAAATGGAGGCGTGCAGCCCATGGGACGAAAAGCAAGATTGTGGGAAAAGGTGTGCATTTTCTGTCATTTTTTTCATTTTCTGAGGATCTGTGCTGTCTTTGGTTTGCTGCTATCGCCCCCTGCTGATCAATGCTGGTACTGGACTATTGACCTAAATGAAGAGAAAAACTAAATAGTAAATGTCTTGGTTTACTGTTTTTATGTATGTAACTAAATGTGTGCTTGTCAATAATCACTAGACTGTCTGCTCCATTCTTCAATGTATAATATACATTTATTACTGCAGGTAAGATACAATTAGTAATAATGCAAAAAAAAAAAAAGATTATTTGTCATTCATGTAAAACTGTTCTTATCTCATTAATATCATTCAATATTTGTTTAAATTAAATGTTTGAAAATATACAAGATAATACATTAGGAATCATTCTATTTGCAGGAATATTTGACTAATCAAAGAAAATAAAGCGAACAAAGAAAAATGTCATTTTGTCATAATTTTAGCACCATTTTCTGGCCAAACTTTTCGGTAATGCTTAAGTAGTAGGACAGACTTCAGTAGTAACAGACAATAAGGATATTAATGTTTGACAATATAATGTGCAGATAACTGGAAAACCAGAAAAACATTTTCCTTTAAACACAAACTCCTCAAGTTTGAGAAACAATTGACTTCATATTTCATCTCTTTTGTGCGCAGGTAGCCTCGCTAACTTAGCACAAACATATAATGTCTGTAGGCTATTGAATATACAGTTTAAATTCATATTTTTTTGTCACACACTCAGTAAGACCACAAATCTTCCAAATTGCCAGAGTATTCCTTTAAAGTACTCAATACTGCCTTTAAATACAGAACTTTCCTCCCAGGTCCCAGAAAAGTTGTACAGTTCACAGGTGACTTTTTAAACATCACCAGTGAGGAGAGTTTTCTCTTCTGGAAACATGGGAAGCTAATTCTTTCTTCAACAACATCCGGTAGTACATCTTTAACCATCTTTAATATCTTAAAAACTTATAATTCTGCAACAAAAGTGCTGCAGATTCAAAGTAAAAGTGGAAGCACAGTTCCAAATCTATGACTAATTTCACTTGTGAAAACGTGCATTGAATCAAGCATTATGGTTTCATACAGTCAAACGTTCATGGGAACATCACAACCTATTGTCCACCTAAGGCCCAGTGAGCTCTGATCCCATGCTCACACTGCGAAAGCGCTGAGGTTCATCGTAAGATGGTACAGTGAGTAAAGACATCTTGTTTCTACCAAAGGGAGGTTTGAGAATGGCAGCCACAGCTCTGTTCTGGTTGATAGCTGGCTGAGAGCTGCAGTGCTCCAGACTGGAGTGGACAGCCGGGTGAAACTGGAAGGCAGAGGGGTGATGGGAGGTGATGCTAATGGCGGAGACTGGTCGAGTGGAAGTCTCTCTTGAGGAGCGGGGGGGAGGAGAAAGCAGTGACACAGAATGGGTCTCCTCCTTGGTACTCTCTGGTTTCCCGCTTTCCTCTCTCATCTGCAGCTCTTCATAACTCCCCTCCACTTCTTTCCTGTCATTGACGGCAGGGTGCCCCCCACGCCTCTCCTGCTCCGCCCCAAACTGAATCTCCAGCAGAGGTGTTCTGACACTCTTCTCCTCCCTGAAACTGCACACAGTACTCTGAGTTTCCTGCCCCAGCCCTGACGGCAGGGACCCACCTTTACCTATTTTACAGCTTTCATCGTCATCATCATCGCTGGTGCACTGGTCAATGCTGGGGGAGTGGCGTAGCCTCTGAAGTTGTGCTGAGGTACGCCGCAGAGCCCCTCCCATGAAGCCAGTTGGGGAGGGAGCTGCGTTGAGAAGACGGTTGAAGAGGGCCATGTTGGGGTGACGATTGCCTGACTCCTCCAGGTTCTCAGCAATGTCCTCCAAAGGCTGGAAGTGCATCTCCTCTTTAGGGATCCTGTGAAGAGATGTTGTGACATTTCATTGCCCTGAAAGTACCTTTCTTTACAGTTGTTGTGTTTGAACACTTTCTCAGTCCCAATTACATCACACTACTTCTTGAATTAAGGTAGAATGCTTTCACTTTCATCGCCCAGATTTTCCCACCCAGAGGAGGGATTCAAACTGAAAGAGTCACAGTCACAAGGTAAGCACACGTAGAATCAGAAGGTAAAACCCAGAAACTTACGCCATGTCAAAAGTGGACCCCTGGAAGGAGGGTTTGCGGAGGACAAAGAGCGTGGCAGCGGTGTAGGGGGGTCTGGGGTTGGAGTCATTCCAGTAGCGATCTCTCTCCATCATAGGCAGATCTCCATACATCTCGTCCACCGCCATCATGGACACCTGCAAAGTGAAGTGCAGACACACACACACACAACACAGATTAAGTATACACAGTAAAGAGCATACTACAACCCCTACTACAGTTATATTGTACCTGTTGATTTAGCACAGCATCTAGTAATATAGTCTTTGATTTGCAACATGACAGCCAAAACGTAAATGTTTTAAATATGAGGTTTTCTACGACAAGTTGGAAAAAAAAACTTTGGTGATCCATTCTTTAAGTCTAATCAAAATCTCTCCTCTTAATGACTTTACAATAAGAAAAAAAAATTTTAAGAGTTAAGAACTATCCCATATTCTAAATAGGACTTAAAGCATTCCTGTACCATTAATGAATTAATGCCATGTCTTTCATTTGGCAAGACATGTATTTTAATCATTTCAGTCCTATTTAGAATATGGAGTAGTGGTCGAGTTCAGCCTCTTGTGGCTGAAATTAGTATAACAACAACACACACTTTTGCCTTCTCATCTGCCCAAACTGTTATTATACCTGATACAGATAGATAAAATAAATGAAATTAACTTAGAAATATTATCCAGGCAAACGGATGAATATTTTTCACCTGCTCTGAAACACACTGGTGAGAAAAACAATTTAGATCAGATTTAGAAAACGGATCACAATTTTTCACTTGACTCTGAGGGTTTCTGTTCCAGTTTTTGGCAACGCATTCAAACAAATATCTCAAATAACATATTAGACACAAAAAAAGCATTAACATCAAGAAACCTGGAAATTTCTGTCTATCAGCCAGTTGGTCTCAAAGTCATCATCATCTTCTCCGAAAGGGTTGATCAGCTGCTCTGCAACCTTCAGGACATAACAGCAAACGTAACAAGCTAACTACATGATTCATTGATATTGTTTTATGTTTATATTGTACAAAAACATATGATATGGGACCCTCTTTCTGACCTTGAGCCACCCAGCATAAAAGAAGAACTGTAGCAGGGTGAAGATGGGAACGTAGAGGTCGAGGTCGTGACCTGGATATCCTTGACTGGGGTCCAGAAACTGGCGACCGATTAGACACACCAGGAAGAAACTGTAAACTGCCAAAGTCACCACCTGTGAGATAGATGGAGTTAATTCACGTTACACCTCTCTTTCAATTCTTCCTCTGAAATGACTGTTTATAAATCATATTTGTATCCAATGTTTTGTGCAGGCAGCAAGCTGCAGTTCAAGTTTCCTTAATGTTAAGTAACAGATATTATTATTTTATTATTATTGTTATTTTATAGACATAAATTCCAGTGTCTAACTTAAAGAGTGTAAAATGTTGCTCAAGCAGAACACCTGTGTCACATTTGTCCTGCCAAACACAGTTACAACTAATAACACAAGTAAGAGCTGTATTTCATGTAGGCGTGCCAGTGACAGAGCCCAAGGGTTGTGCATGCTGGCTCTTTACGAGGACAATTAAATGGAACATTCATTAATCTCATTAAGCATTTCCTGCCAGGAAAAACAGGTTTATGAAGTGAAAGTCAGCTTCTTAGAGTTGATCTGTTAGACAGGAATACGGAAGGACTACTGAAGTTAACATATTTATAACAGGCAGCCAGTTATAAATATTCTAGAAATTGTGCTTTTAATTTTTCTTATATACAACGTAAATTGGTTGGTCATTCTTGGATGGCATCTCCTATTATCAGTATATGTAAATAGCAACTGTGATTTAAAAATATAATTTGTTAACAAAGGTAAAAGAATGTGTAAAATAAAAACTTGGTCACAGAGCATACATTTTGACTCAATAATAGGAGAGTGGTCCGTTGTGTTTATGTGTCCTATTAAGTCATGACAGTGTGAACAGGCACGCATAATACTGGGACTAGGGATTCACTGATTTTTTTTTCAGACCAAGTACAAGTACAAGCACTTACATTTGTGTATTTGCCAATACCAAGTACTGATATGAGCACCTAATAATACCATTACAGTTCTAACAAAAACTAAAAAACATTATCGGTGCATCCCTAACCAGGGGCCTGAAACTGAAGCAACCATCGTTATTTTACGATTCTCCTTTTCTTACTGTGACATGTACAAATGCCCGTCGCTTTGCTTGATTAACTTTTGGATTCTGATATGTACTGTACTTTTAGCGAGTATCTTAATTTAATATTAACGGTGGGTAAAACCAATATGTGAATACATGTTAGTACTACTAATGCTTCTCAGATGCATATCAGCCAGTATCTCCACTGCCTGCAAGATTATTTGTCATTTCAACTGTAAAATTTTAATAAAATAACACTTCTTTAGGACCAATGCACAAAACTGTTAAAAGATACAAAAAACATAACCCATCTTGAGTGTATTGGTGCATGAAAAGATGTCAGTATGATCAAATAAAGTGCACACAGTAGAGTCAAAATCACGCAGCCTACCAAGCAGCAGTACACTCACCTGAGTGTAGACTAGGGGAACACTGATCATGTCATAATGAAACAGCATGCTGCACTTCCCTCTGAACCCATTCAGTTCCTGTTCACACACAAATAGAGAGAGTTGCTGAGGTCACATTTATCCTCGTTCTTCTCTCGTTAAAAACTGAAGCTCCATGTCACCACTGGGCCTGTGCAATGGTGTGTGGGCATACGCTGCACCTCCAGCAGTAGTTTGAGCGTGTGATCGTCTTTGATCCTGCCCTCGCAGCGGGCCACAGCTGCCAGGTTGGTGAACCAAACGCAGGGGATCCAGTATTTGTTATAAGGAGAGTGGAGACCCTCAAACTTCTTCCGTTCCTCTCTTGACATGAATCCTGCACAAACAGCAGACTAGACCATCACACCTCAGATAAATTCATTCCTAATGTAATTGTTGCTCACAGAAAGGGTGGAATGTGGGATGAGGGATCAGTATTCTGTACGATTTAGCCTGAACTTTTCTCATTTCCAAATAAGTCATTATATAGTGAGAGAGACCTAATTAAATGTATCAAGACACAATACACTATAGCTCTATCAGTTACAAAGTAGAAAGATCAAATATTACTGAGAGTTGTTTACGAATCTTAAAAACGATGTCATTGTGTAAATCAGACTTTGATGCCACCAAAAGTTGCAACGCATTAATTTATAAAACAGTGTGTGGAACAGCCTGTCACAATCTTGTAACAGACGTATGATAAACCTTCTTTATCACCACTGAATTTCAGGATGTGCCTGTCCTTGTGATTTCTTCTGCTCTCACTGCTGTAGAGAATGTACAAGAGAAGAAACAAGACACACTCATGATGTGAGTGTGTGACTGATCACTTCCCTCCAACAACAATACCTCCTGAATATAGTGTGAGAAAAGTTCATGCAACATATGAAACTCTGAGAGGTGCACTCGCTAAAGTAGTAGTTGTGTTGTGTATTTCCATGAACAGATGGTTTGGATAATTGTATAAGATCATACCTAACTCACTGGGTGTTGTTGGATGAGGATGGACCCCTTGTGCCTACTCACCAGCCTCCACCACGTGGTCCATGGTGGGGAACCGTTTGAATACAGCCGTGCTGACGGAGCGGAGGATGAGCAGGGCTGACAGACTGGCGTAGCGCATCATGGTTCGTCTTAGCAGGCGGCCTCGCTCGTCGCTCCCCTGGAGGCCCCCCGACAGGACGCACATGAGCCTGTCGGGGAGCGGGATGCTGGTGTACTGGCTCCACCACCGGTTCACTACCAGGGTCACATAGAAACCTGTAAACAGCAGTGGAGAGGAGAGACGGATCAGACCTGGAAGAAAGGGCTAAAGGTGTTTTATGTCAAATCACGTACAATCCTCTGGGTTCCCTAGTGGAGTCCAGGGACCAGCAAGTCACCTTTACTGTGACCTCAGGGGCCTCTAGCAAAATATAGTTTGTTTTTTTAAACATAATTTTTGACAACTGATATATCAGAGAGCCAATATTGTCAGATAATCTTGACCTTTTACACACTGTATATGTAAGTATTTCAACTGATTTACATTTGTAGAGAAAAGAAAAGAATGAATGAAAAATATGAAAATATCTGAAAAAAGATAAAATGACAGTACACACTGCAGAAAAGAGTCTTTAAGAATGGATCCTTGCTAACTGAATGCATAGTCAAAGAAATGTTGCCCAGCGTAATTGAATTGTTTGTCTCACATTTCAGTATTGGCATGAAGCCTATCCACAATCAGTTGGTCACATAATCTGTATTCTAATTATTAAATCAGAATGTTTTATTCCCTCCTACAGTAGATATATTTATATCTCCAATGCAATAATGGTCATGGATATGTGCCCCCAAGCTATAAATCTAACGAAGGTCTTGAGGTCTAGAGCTGAGGGTCCTTGACATGGAAACCTATTAGGAAGTACATTTCTGGCTGCTCATTCTTGTGTTGCAAAGATCACACTAAACAAAGGTCTACACACATTGTAGCACAAATTCTGCCCCTTCTTCTGTTATCTAAAACTGATATGAATATCACCGGTGCTTACCCAGTACAAAGGACATAGGGATGAGACTGGCGTAGTGGTTGCAATAAATTGCCAGCTTTTCAAAATACCTCTTCTGGTCATCATACAGGAAAAATCTGAAAGGGAATCAAAGTGATTGACATAAAATCAACCGCTGAATGTGTGCACCGCCATAGTTTCCTGAGGCTGTTCTTTCTCTCTTACCTGTAAGTGATGCTGATGGCTGTGTACATGGCAAAGAAAGCCAGGAACTCTTTGTACAACACCTTGTAGATGCTACCTTTCCAGGCCAAAAGCAGCTTGGAGAAGCCACAGAAACGGGCGTTTGCAACTCTGGCTGTGTAGGTGACAGTCATTGGTGACAGCCAGATTACAGGTCCTCAGCATAAGAGCTGTATGAAAGAAACAAGCCCCTTTGTAACTACACTGTACCAAGTTCAGACTCATGACCAAAGAATCTAAACGCTGGTCATTTTAAACTATTAAACAGACTATTAACACTATTTCGAATGTATCTTGCCTTGAAAGAATATCTCCTTACCTTTCGTGGTGTGTTTTCTTGATGAGCCGCCGATTGCTCAGCGCATCTCTGTGCGTAATTGGCACAAATGGAGAGGTCAATTCATGTTTTCACTCAGCAGCGTAGTCTTCTCGGTGCTCAGCAGTGGTGTTTCTTCGCCGTCGCTCATAACCCTGATATCCCCTGGCGTCAGCTCGGTTAACTGGAGGCTCGCTCTGCTGCATGGCAGTAATCCTCGGAGCCTCCACGGTGCGTCCAGTGGTCAGTGCGCCCCGGGGTAAATCCCCAAAACGAGGAGGAGGAGCTCGTTAGCGCGGCCCCCGACCGGGAGAGCGCGGTTCGGTGATGGACCACAAGCGACAGGCCGCAGCGCCGGGGCACAAGGAGCGCACAGGAGCGTACAGTACAGCAGGGAATTATGAAACAGGAACAAGTGGAGCATGGCAAACTTTCGTGTTAAGTGATATGAAAACAACAACCAATTTCCCCGGTTACAGGTTTATAATTATAATTGTTGTGGCTTAAACAACATTACATATATAGTTCCTGCAATATAACAACTGACTGGAATGAGATGCGTCTTGTGTCGTTTGGTCTCATTCATCTTTTTAAACTTTAGCTTTTCATAGAACAAGAAAAAAACTCCCTGTGGGGGATAATAATCCCACTTGTTCCCAGTGCAATTTCCCACCAGGACATTGTTTTTTTAAAGGAAATCATTTGTTACAACTCAACAACAAACTAAATGACTTGGTGGACATTTTAAGCAGTGACACTCGCTGTGCCTGATGCTCCTGCAGTGGAGGAATGTAATTAAGTACATTATTAAAGTCCTGTACATACTGCATTATCATTCTATGCTACTTTATACTTTTACTACACTACATTTATCTGACAGATTAGGGTTTTACATTAAGAATAAATATGATAATCTGTAAGAATGTATTGTATTTCAGAGGCTTAACAGAGTGGTTCCTAAAACCTTTTGTGGCTTGTGACCATGAGCACTTCCACCAAAGAGACATTTCACTTAATTTATTTATAATTTGAATAAATGTCTCAAAATCATATTCTTCTACCCCATTAATAAAGCATAATAATTTAAGATTTATCCTGTGACCTTTTTAAAGGGTCCCGACCCCTATGTTGGGAACCACTGGATGGAACTACCTAATAGTATATTTATGTGTATATAAAGCATTTACAGAACAGTAAAATACTACTTATATAATAATATTAATACTTAAGCATTGATGCATCATTAACAACAATGATGAAATATCTCTCTCTATATATATAATATACAAGTCACAGGGTCAATTTGCATAACAATTACTTTTACTTTTAATACTTAAAGTACATTTAGTTGATAATACTTCTGTACTTTTACTTAAGTAGGATTGAGAGCAGGACTTTCACTTCAAATACTTTTGCATTGATGTATTAACACTTTTAATTGAGTTTACTATAGAATACTTAGTCCACCACTGTGCTCAATGCCTACATCATTCTTAATAGTTCTTTAGTGTTGCTGTGGCACATCTTTTCCTTCTCTTTGTATCTTTAATTGAATTAAAGTCAGTTTCTCCTGGTTGTCGCTCCTGAACTGTGGTGTTGAAGGTTAACTGAGGCTTCATGCTCTGTCAGAGGCAATCTGCAGTCCGGTTGCTTTATGTCAGTGCGGTCTTATGAAAATCTGCTTCTGTCTACTTCAATTAACAGACGTGTTAAATAAGCAGAACAAAAGAATGACCACAAAAGGCTCTCATCTGAGGCAAGTTTGTTTTAATTAACACTCGCAACATAATTTAAAGAAAATCTATAGAAAACAGATTCTTATTGACTCAAAAGCATTCAGAGACAGATAAGGGGTAATAACGCTTTTTCTTAAGTGTTGACCTGTCATCTATATCTTTCTGTTGGAAAACAATGAAGCATCAGGCAAGCCAATCAGAGTCTAGTATTCAATCACCAGGGCAAAGATGCTTTGATTCTACTTTAATAACTCCATTCATTTGTTCAACATCTTATCAAGCAACATTCAGTATATTTTAATTAACAATGCACTAAATAAGGCTACTAATGTTCCCATATAGTTCTCAGTAAACAGGGTGGACATAAAATGTTTGACAGAGAAGAGTGTTTGATGAGTTTTAGGAGTACTGTATGGGAACCTGGTATTGGGAGTTCAACTGCATCAATAATAAACTCTTTTAGTGTCCAACTGCTCAAACATCAAGAGTCTCATCACACATTTTGCCTTTGAATCTCATAAAACTGGTGCCGTCTCCAACCACATACCACCTGGATCAACCACACTGGCCTAAAATATTTACCAGAGGCCATTAAGACTGTCCAGCTCAAACAATAACAGCCACATGTGGATATAAAGCTCCCAATATGACTCGATTCAAAATCTCATTAACATTAGGTAACTGCATTTCCACCACAATCACATGGCGAGGTGAGGTCTAATGACTGGACGAATGGTAAAAGACACTACAGACTGCTCTGGTTTTTTATTGCAATAACAATGAAGGTCTTGGTCGAGAATAAAAATGACCACAGACCATATTGGGCTTCTCGTTTGTTTTTTAGTTAACCATTCTTTTTCACTGCCCTGCCGTCACACTCTGAATCTGTAGCGATTTAGATGTAAATTCCCGATGTGACAGATGAATTTGCATGACATATTAGCCAAAGTCAAACTGGAGATTAGACAGCGCCACCAAACCACACAGAATACAGAAGGCGTAAACATTAACCATCTGAAAGACGTTTTATCCTGGAATACACAGCACCGTCACTGAAAACACTTTGTTTTCACAACTGAGGCTGGACACTGCACAAGATGGAAGAAGGGGAAGAGAAAAAGTTAAATGCTTCGAGTAGGAATAGTACAACTGCCACACAGGAAATGAAGGAAAGAGAAGGTGAACTGAGAGTAAGGCAGCACAAATCTGTACTGTCTGATCTCTCTAACAATACAGCAGGTTATGTGTGTGTGTGTGTGTGTGTGTGTGTGTGTGTGTGTGTGTTTGTGACTTCGTCAGCTCCCCATCAATAAGGGCGTGGTCTTGTTGTAGCAGTGCTCTGCTTTGGATGATGGGATGAGGAATAGGTGGATCAACTTGAGGCCGTTACTGCGGGGTTTGAGGCTGGCTGGGGGGAGCTCAGAGGAGGTGAGTTCAGACTGTATAGGTGTGGTCTATAGGAGGGAGAAGGGAGGTCCTGCAGGGAGGGAGATCATTTATTTGGGGGTTTGTAGGGTTCCAGAAGTTGCTTGGAGAACGTGTTGACCTTGTCGGCACCTCGAACTTCATGGGGTAGCAGTGGTAACTTGACTATGTGGAAATCTTCATAAAGGTCCTCCATCTGAAGGGAGAAGACACAGCATTAATGAAGACGACGACATGCAACACTGGATGAGACTGTCACAACCAAAAAACAAACTACTGTACTCGTACCTGGTCTAAATACTTGGACTGAATTTTATGGCGGGCTTCACACATTTTACATGGTCTCTCTGAGTCAGGGAAAACAAGCTGGTTGACGATGATGTTGTGTGTGTCGATGCGGCACTTGGCCAGCTCCTGGATCAGCCGCTCCGTCTCATACAGGGAGAGGAACTCAGCGATACACACACAGATGAAAGTGGTTTGTTCCTGATGGATGTGACAAAAGGGGAAAACGTTACAACACACAGAGAAAGCTATTAATACAGCTAGTAGAAGTGTCGAGTTGTTCTAAATGGTAAAGGTATTTCAAATTGTATTACATATAGAATATCTAAAAATATAAAATAGTGCTGTCAAACGATTAAAATATTTAATCGCGCTTAATCGCATTAATGTCATAACTAACTTGCAATTAACCGCACATTTTTATCTATTCTAAATGTCCCTTGATTTCTTTTTGTCCCATTATTTTTTCTCATTTTAATGCTCTTATCAACATGGGAAAGTGGACCGGCTTGCTTTGTGCAGATGTTTTTATTGAAAAATCATCCATTGTCGCCTGGCTTTGACGAGGGGGCGGAGAATTCGCATCAGCTGTGTGTTTGGCCATCAAGTGGTATTTCAGACTGGACGTGCTGCGATGATAGCTCAGTTCACAGCGACAAAACACACAGATCACTTTGGTCTTGTCAATGGAACCATTTGGCAACTTTTTAAAAGTAAACTTTCCATTCAGAATATTATTGGCATCCATTTCGGCGTCTCACGCTCGCCAACACTTAAACAAGTGTGTGTGGCGTGCCTGTTGTTTTGTTTCCGGTCTAGCTAGATCCGGTGTGGTGTTTGGTTTTTCTAACGTTACTAGTTGTTGCAACAGCATGTGAGAAAAACTACAAAGTGTGCTAGGCCAAATAGAACGTAAATCTCGCCATAAAAAAAATGTACGCCATTAAAATGGGTTTGCGTTAACGTCGTTAATAACGCGTTTAACTGACAGCACTAATATAAAACATTAAACATTTTACAGTGTACTGAAATTTCAAACTGTGTTGTCATTGACACCGTCGTCAAAATACTATCTCTCTCACAAACCCAGAGTAGAAAAGGGGGAGGCTGCACCACCACAGGCATACAGTACGTACACGTGCAATACAGCCACGCTGTATAGATGCATTAAGTGTAGAGCTGTCTGTATGTCCAGAGTGAGACAGAGTGAGCCACATCAAGGAGAAGGTTAGCAGTGGACGTAGCTTTGCTATATTCACAGAATGCTAAATCTGGCAATGAAAATGTTCCTTTCCTCAACCTGCTTCATGTGATCTTCACTATCACTATAATCACAAATGACACCCAAATCACAGCTCTTGCGGTCTCAGTGTAGGCTCTGTTAGGTTTTTGTGATGGAGGTGGAACCCACTACAAGAGATACAGGGCCGGTGCATGTAGATACAGAAATACAGAAACACAGTGGAGAAGCGTAACTTGGTGTGGTTTCAAAAGCCTGTATTGTACAACGCAAACAAAGAACATAAAAGAAACTGCATGGTAACACATATTACCATGTAGTAATGGTGTGCTTGTGTTATAACTGCAACCAGACTGACTTACAGGATCTTTGAACTGCTCACTGACTGAGCGGATCACAGGCAGGGTCTCCTCGAGCTTAGAGGCCAGCTGGTCTGCGTTCATGTCTCCCAGACCGAGCATGTTACACATCTACAATGAGAGAGAAATAGAGAGAACATATAGACAAGAGATTGAATCAATGCTAATATTTAATGTATTGAATATCAAATATTTTACCCACTTTGCATCATACTTCAAGTTCAACAGTGGCTTAGTGAAGCTTTTACAGACACACATTCTCACATTAAAACTGGTGAATGCCTGCAATCAGTGAGTGACCGGACCTGCTCGTCCCTCCTCACCTGAGAGATGAAAGGGCTGATCTGGTTCTTTATCTGCATGAGGCGGCCCAGACCACGCTCCACAATGGTGGGAAAGTTGAGCAGCCGCAGTGTGTGACCGGTAGGGGCAGTATCAAAGACCACCACGGAGAAGTTCATTCCTTTCACTAACCTGAATTACAGGTAGACAGGAGAACACTTTCTTCATTGCTCAGTTTACTCATCTATTTACAGATACACCACTGGTCATACTACTATAAAAAAGTAATTGCAACTAGTTCAACAATACTTGTGATCTGAAATGTGATCAGCCGTTCCCGTGACCACGTTGTCTTACCTCATGACCTCTGCGTAGCTCATGGCCTCGTCGATGCCAGGGAAGGCGCTCATGGCCTCCTGCATCATCTTCTTACCCATGCTGAGCATGTTGTCCTCCTCAAAGAACTCATCAGGCAGCTCTGCCACACCCAGGCTCGGGTCAATCTCCTGCACTCACACAAGCACAGGTAATGAGCACATTGCAAACTGAGGGAAGCTGGGTAACTGCAAATGATTTAAAGGCTTCCTGCAATTCACTTTCTTACACAAAGATGGTTTGTGCTTGAGACCGAGATATGATTGATTATCCTTGTGAAGTCCCCACTGAAGAGATAGTGACCTAATTCACTAAATTTAATTTTCCAAAAACAGCATAAATAGACTTCTTTGTAAGCAAATGTAGCTATGTTTCTAGCCACTATCTACAATTTCATGGTGGGAATTATATAAAGGCCAAACAGCCAGTGCTGTGGAAGCCCCAACGTGTGGCCTTAAGGCCCCTTCTAAAATTAACTAGGCACACAGCAAGTTTGGCATGTCCAGTTTTGAACTGGCCGGTGTGCCCCTATAATAAAAACTGATGACTTCCTTAATAAAAACTAGATGCGAATAATGCGCAAATAACTAGTTTCTCAGGGTCCGGTATCACAGTAGCGAATGGTTTTTTCCCACTCCCATGAATATTGATCAATCACAAGGGAGAACGCAGTGAATGCGAACAGCTAACTAGCTGACACATAACACACTCAGGTTATCCACAAGCCCAGCTTTCTTAAAGGGGAACAGACAGTAACACACAAGTGTAGTTAGGTCAGAGGCTGTGGGTGTGATAACCAGAGGTGGAGGAAGTATTATATACTTACTTATATATACTTTGACTTCATGAAGTAAAAGTACTCATACCAACCCCACTATGAAAATACACCACTACAAGTATTATATAAAAAATACTTACTCAGTAGTACTTATTAAGTAGTAATTGTGCAGTAAAATGGTCCCTGTCATTGTTTTACCATTATATATATATATGACGTTTTTAGATTAATATCACTGCTGCATTAATGTTGCATTTTAATGCTGTATTAGTACAGAACTAAGTTGAGCAATTGTTTTATATACTGTTGGATAGTTTTGGGCTTGACGGCCTATATTTTGGTCCCCTTTAAACATTGTCTCACTGGCAAATGCATAACAATTACAGTTAAGCAGTTGTTGTTACCAATAAAATTCTTAGACCTCAGGCTCCCTCCAACAATGCTCTTACATATAGGCATTAAAAAATATATGCATAGGGAAAAATCACAGAAGCGCAACCAAATCTAAGACATAAACTAGTGCAGTAGTTCAAATATAACAATATAACACAATATAAAATAAAATATATTACTGTGGTTGACAGCTCAAGACTGTGGTAAACAGGTGAGTAATAGCACATTTGTAAACTGTAATGTAACGTTATATACAAAATGAGAGCTTACTGAGACAAATAAATGGAAGAGAGAGACTAGTTAATGTTATAACTAACACCTGTGCTTTCCTACTGACTGTATATAAAAACAGGTTGTGAATGTGTATGAATGTTAGTTTCTGTTAGACGGACTTTGCCATCACCGTGTGAATGTGTGTGAAAGGGTGAATGTGGCACGTAGTGTAAAAGCGCTTTGAGTGGTCGGAAGACTAGAAAGGCACTATACAAGTACAGATCCATTTACCATTTACCTTCACATTTATACTTCACAATACTACACAATCGCTGCCTGTAGTGTCTTCCTGTGGATGGGTGCTCACAGGTTTTTTTTTCAATGCAGTGCAACTTACCATTGCAAAGAGGTTGTCATAACCCTTGACCTTGGTGGGCACCTTTGAGAACTTCTGGTCAAAAGCATCAGAGATGTTATGAGCCGGATCGGTGGAGATGATGAGGACGCTCTCCCTGACAGCAGCGAGCTGGACAGCCAAGCTACAGCTGGACAAATGACACAGGACAGGTTTGTACCACAAGAGGTGGGCAGCCAGTACAGAGTGTGCTCCACTAGAACAACTCATGTCAGCAGCACTTCTTCCACAGAAAACAGGGCCCCGACTCAAACCCACTGACAATATTAATAGTCTTACATTTTCTCTTCTCCCGATCTTAAAAGCTGCAGTGAGCAGATACCTGTGATGGACTAGATGGTTCTAGGTGCAGTTATATTTCTATCACATTGTGTATTATTTCTTATATTGTAAACATCGCTCAGTGGCTTCAACGACAGTCAGAGGGGGCGTACTGTGTCAGACCTTACAGCTACGCTATCCAGCCAGTGTGTTCAACACCCCCGGGTAGCTGTCCATTTAGCTTAGTTTCAAGTTAACACAAAGTTACCTGTTGAATAAATACGAGGTAGAAGGCCCTCCTATTAAATGAGGGACTGTCGGTGTCAATCTGCACCGTGATTGTAAACCCACTTGAGAAAGTCAACTAACGTTACATGTGTCAGCAGGCTAACATTAGCTAGTGACAGTGCTGGACGGCGTTCAACAACCCTGCTAACTGACAACGAGCTTAGCCTGACTTAAACAAATGGATATGTTTTGGTGCTAACGCGTCTTCAGCTGGCAAACTAACGCTCATTATATTGTTGTTGTGTAATAAAACACATCCTATCCGTGAGCTGAGTAACTACCCACGTCAACGGCTGGTGGCTAGTCTCAGCTAGCTATGTTAGCTAGCGACGTAGGCTGACTCAATATCTGGAGGCTAATCAGCATTTCCACTCAACTTACCTACATGTCGTTTTACCAACACCACCCTTCCCACCCACAAATATCCATTTCAAAGATTTCTGCTCGATGATATTCTTCAGTGTCGGTTCTAAGGGCTCCACATCAGGCGCATCTTCAAATTCGTCTTCCAATGAAGCTGCCATCTTGTCTGTGTACAACGTAACGTACAGCTCAGGTGGGATGTTACCGACTCTGCTGCCTTCACGGCTCCTCGGACAAAGTCCAACTAACTACATACTGAAAAATACACAGATGGAAGTAAAGTCAAAAGTAATGTTATGGTAGGTTATATTTGAGATCAAAGTTATGTCAGACTTGAAACTGAGAACTAAAATAAACCTAAAAACACCAAACTTACCAAACCGTACTGTAGGCAAAAACAAAAGTATACACATCTATTAACAGTAACAACTACTTAAAATATGTTTACCCTAACATAGTTAATATTCTGATTAGCATTGCAGCATTATTTTATATCAACGTGTAATATTAAAAATTGGCAGGAGGCTTTTGTTAATGCTGCCATTAATTTACCTCTGGTATTTACTTCCACGGATTAGTTTGGATGCCTGACAGCCTGCTGCTGAGAAACAGGGACCGGGGACAGGAGGACCAGCAGGAACACGAGGATACACTTGTCTCTTTCCCTGCCAAAAATGTTCTAGGGGAACTGCTGGATGAGAGGATTTTTTTCCCTTACACTTTGAGTTATAATTAGGTTGCATTATAAATCTTAACCTGTTTCTGCAATACTCATACGAAAACATTTATAAAATTAAGAGAGAGTGTAAGGAGAGAGAGGAAAGACCACCAGATGATATCAACTGTCATACTTGTGTCTACATGTTGATGTGCAGCTGTGATTATCCATTCCATGGTCACTGTAGACTGCTTTGAGTAGGAGAGGGCTGCTACTGGAGCATAGTGGATCTTAATTAACTCCAAAACCATCAACTTAGTGTTGTTGTTTTTTTGTTTTTTTTTTGCATAACCTGCAGCAGCTGAATGATTGTGATAGTTTTGGTGTCTTTTTGAGGATCTTAAGAGTAAGGCTTACATGCACCAATATATTTTTAGGAGTTTCTCCTGACATGGACACTTAGTCTTCTAGATCTCATTTTATAGCATCTGGCTTTGGCAAAATCTGATTGATAAAATCAATCATAATATTTACATACCTGGAAGCATCCTGACCAGCCGTATTCAGGCATTCCACACTCAAGGTATTTTATTGTAATTTTTCTTGGATTTTCTCTTTTAGGTTAGCCTTGTAATGTTTTATGGATAAAATTGTATATCACAGTCGAACTGCACTCTTAGTAATTGTGAAAAAAAAGAGTTAAAAAGTCGACCGAAACCACTGATACATGAATTTCCCGCATGATGTGAATGTAGCACAACCCACAATAACTATGGGACCACAGTGCTGTACCACCTGACAGTATAGAGTTACAGATACCATACATCTACTTGACTTTTGTGACCAAACCATTGACATTTGTAACCCTCAGACCATCACAGAATGGAGAAAGTGAATAAGTAGCCTTCGTAGCTGTTTCCATAAATAACAATAGAGGACTGTGGTTGGACTACTTGGCTGTCTCTGGAAAAGATCATCACAGAAAACACTTTCACAAATAAATAATTTAACAATTTATCTGGACAAAATGTTTTTATTAAATTCTGTTTAAAGCCAGTAGCATTAGGGCACATGCAACGAAAAGATTAAAATCAGCTTTAATTAGGTTTGGAAAATTACTCAACAAATTGATTTGATTTCATCGTTAATATAAACTCATTGTCAGTGTTATACAGAAACCCAGCTGAAGAAAAAGATGAGAAGGGAAAATCTTATGATGAGAAAACAATTCATTTACATGAACATGTACATGCTGTGACCACAGGATAAGGCACTTGTCTCCATATACATCTTTTCATGACTTCACCTGTCCCCATCTCAGTGCTGCCATCAGAGCTATTAGCCCTCATCCTTCTAGACCCATTGCCTCCCTCTCTGCCATCCAAGCAATGCCACGCCAAGATGTTTATGGGAGTCGTCTGAGCTCGCACACACTCCATCCCACCAGGAAAGGAGCAACTTTGCCCTTCATCTGATCTTTCACAATCAGTCTGCCGCAGCCAACGCGGCCAGAACGCAAGACCCAGATCCACCCATTGGTAGGTTAATCCACAAGAGGCCGAGGACACTAACCAGTCTCTGACCAAAAGGCCGACCTGTGAGGGAAGAGAACTGAGGTCCAGATCTGCAGCTTCCTTCTCCAGCTTCTGGCGCTGGCTAGCTGCAGCCTCTCTCAGCTCTGGAGAGGCACTCTGGTTAAACTTCTCTCTGGCAGTGGTGTAGGTGGGTAATCTGGTTGACAACACGCCACCAGGCAACAAAGGTTGAGCCCCAGATGATTCAGACGGCTGCTCTATGGACATCCAAAACTGGTCAAAGGAGGATCCCAGAAGACGCAGGAGGCGAGAAGGGCGGCGATGTCTGGGTTTGGGCATGTCGTGGTAGTCTTGAGCGTTTGTCAGCAGGGTGTATGGGCGGACTGACTGCGAGTAGGACAGTAGACTGGCTCTCAGCTGAAGAAATGGTGAATCCCAGCCTGTGTCCTCCTTGTCTTGAAACAAAGTCACATTTGGAAGCTGATTCTGGGTTGAAATGTTAGAAGTAAATGTTGCAGATCCACATAGAAGGACCGACACAGATATCCAGACTCCACAATTGAGCGGTATAGGCATGGTCTTAGTTGTGGATAGTAGAAGAATGAGGAATTGTTCCTCTCGTTTTTCCTTTTCACCCGTTCAGTTATGGATTCTCCTCTAGGGACCTCAGGGACTCCATGTACCAAACACCAGACATCCTTGAGCTCTTAATCAATAACATACTGAAATTAGTGCCTTATCACACAAACAGCAGGTGTATTATTGAGTTCGGCCTGAGTACACCTGAGCTCCCACTGCTAATTCAAGGCTCTGATGTTTTGGCTAACTTTAATGCAAACATACAAGAAAAATCTGAGAAGCTTTATTTTTGGTTCATGTGTCAACAACCAGAATTACTAGCATTTTAACAGATTCCTATGTGTGCGGACAGGTAGAAAAGACAGGAACTGAGCTGTCACCAAGGAGACATTTTCATTGAGATGAAAAAGTAGTTCTGCTTATTTCACAGCAGACCCAAGAAAAAAACAATTTGACCTCGATTTAGTGGAGCTGTGTCAGTGACCTCAGACACAAGATCTTCAAAAACATCAGCGCTCTCACACAAAGAGTGCTCTTAGATCGGTTCAAAAACAAGCTTCTGGGTAAATTCCCATCATGATAACGACATGGCAGAAAATATTTAAAAAGAGGGCAGATGAAACAGGTTTGCAGAACAAAGCAGCATTTATTCTGATCTACACAAAATCAGCTGTGTAGGTCAAAGGCACACTATGGCGTAATATCAAATATATTTCAACATTATACTTAACTGTAAATATTTGTTCTAATTTAAGTTTTTGTTTACATCAACATTACAGTAATACACGTCATAAATACAGTCATATAAAGTTGCTTATACTTACATAGCAATAACAAACAGCAGAATGAACCATAAAATACTGCATTTACACAATGTGGTTGATGATACAGCAGTTCTGTAGTGCGTGCGTGTGTGCGTGTGTGTGTGTGTGTGTGTGTGTGTGTGTGTGTGTGGGGGGGCGGTGCTTCCAGAGAAAACCTGACTTGGCACAGCATTTGAAAGATTGTAGGTATATTTCAACATGATGGTGTGTGTATATTGACCTTTACATCCACCCACTTCTCCTGTTTGTCCTCCAACTCAAAGTGAAAAAAGCTGGTCATGTGATCTGTCCTGTTGCCGGGTAGACTGTGGTGGGGGTCTGGATGTGGGAGGCGGCACGCTGCGAACTGCCGCGTTGCTGTGGTCTGCTACCTTCGCCCGATCTTCCAGAAACTTATCAAACTCTGAAAGGGACAGTTAGAGGTGAGTGTGTGAACACATGAACACACAGGCAGAAAGATAATTCTGAAAAAATATCTTTACATTAAAAGGTGGCAATAAAGCAGTAAAGAGCATAACATACCTTCACTGGACACTCCCTCACTGACTGAAGACTGCTCTTCCTGCATTACCAAACAACAAACCTTATCAAACATCCCACTGTCTTATTTTAAAAGAACATCGTACATAGAGGGACATGCTTTCTCTTACCATATCACAAGATAACCATTTGTCAATATCGTTCTGCACAGAGTTTTTTGCTGGTGCCATCTAACAAGAAAACATAATCAAGAGAAGGATAAGGTAACAGTGTTAGCTAAATTTACACAACATTTTGTACTTTTATGTCACAGGACTTTTCTGTGTTATGGTGGCATACACACCCCTCCTGTGACCTGCAACCTCGTATCCAGTGCTCCAGCAAGGCCCTCCACAGCTCCTGGGTCCTCATACCTGACACTGGAGACAGGAAATGTAACAGTATTGTAATGCTGTGATGTAATGTATGCTATTAAACCAAATATTCATTTTACATTTAGAAAAAAATGGTTATTTCCAGCTTAAACAGAACATACAGACCCATAGTTTATTGAAGATAAAGTGTGTAGGAACTGATCACTATATATTATATCAATCAATCATATTAATCATAACAGTGGTGTAGAGGGACAAGCAGCTGTCCTTTCTTTAAATATAACGTCGCCTTTATTTAACAATCCTAGTGTCATGTAGCGTAGGCAAAACGTAAACTGTAGATTTCTTTCACTGGAAGTTTAGTGGCAAATGTCTTCAGGCTCACCAGTCAGATTGAATTTCATCTAACTATATTTTAAAATGGTAAATTCAATTATGCACTTAAAAGCATTTAGTTTTAGTTTAAGATTACGGATATCTCTATTGTTAATCCAGTTACGGCTTGTCCTAAGGCTACCACAGCAAGACACCACAAGTGATGAGGCACTTTCATCAGTTATAGTCAGTGCTGCACCCAAATAAAAAAACAAAATAAAATGTGGTGGGGGAATCATGATCACGATGAGTGTCTATCTGTCACCAGTTTGCAGCGCTCACCTTTTCCTCTGATCAGCCAGGGAGTTGCCTCTCGTCTGGGCAAACATGTCAAACTCTTCTTCCTCTTCTACAAGACAGAGGATTACCTCATTAAGTCACAAGTGAATGAAATACAACTTCCTCCATATCTAAATTGCAATAGCAACACATATTTAATAATAAAACTACAGCATCCAGTTTTTTCTCAACATCCTGAAAATACACAAGCAAGACTTCAGTTTGATATGTATGGATATCGTAAGGGAGTGTGCATAAAAAGCAGTAGTTATACAAAGTTATCTCACTGTGGTTGGGTGAATGCCGCTCATTGACGCAGGTGCTGACTGCTGGTTGGCTAGTTGCCGTGATGACAGCAGGCTGACTGATAGTTGAAGGCTCAGGGCTGAGGTCGATGAGGCTCTGGCTTGGGGTAGAGCTCTGATAGAGTGAGAATATTTAATAAATTAAGATGGAAGACCTTTACACCTCACAGTTTTCTGACGCAGTCCAGCATGAATTAATTTAAACAAAAGATAAGAGATCAAGAGCTTTCTTACCTGTTGAGTATTTGTCATTTGCGCCTTGTTCAGTCTGTCAAACCTGAAACACAATCACAATACAATGAAAATGGAATAAGTACGATACACACTGCACTCTTAAAACTAACAATTTCGTCATAGTCCAAAAGACAAAATTAGGCTGCAGCACACCTTTCATAACGGATGAAGGCGTTGTTGAGGTCATCGTTGACCACAAGCAGCTCTCCAATAAACTCTTCATCCAGCAGCTGGGGGATGAGCTCCACCACTCGAGTCTGCATTTTCTTACACATCGAGTACAGCTGCTGCTTGGAGGAGGAGGAGAGAGAGATTCATTCATTCATTCTTATCGCTGATGACATGGAGTAACAGAAAATCAAAATCAAATTTTGGTGTACCCAATTTTCTACATCCTGCCTCATCTACTTTTACATTAATACTTGCATTTTACTCTTTGACAACATGATACCAGTACATGCAGTACAGCACAGTTGTACAGACAGCATGAACAAAACAGACACCAAGAAAGGTGTAATAAAGTTAAGTAAAGCATATTAAAAATTAACATCTCTGCCTATTCTATAACCTTTTGTCCACATAAAACATTTACACACATGTAACATGTTATACAATACAAAAATGTAGCCTGTACAGTTCAATATAAAGTCTCATTTACGCATGCGCACGCGCATGCACACGCACACGCACACACACACACACCTGTAGCAGCTCTGTATCATCTTGTTGGCTCTGTCCAGGGGTTAGCTCATTCAGCATTTCTGACATCACAGTGAGATTTCCCTTCACCAGCGCCAGCTCACTTCGCAGCTTCTGTTCCTAGATAAGAATTATTATTTTTTTTTTAATCAAAAGCAGTCAAAATTAAGTTTATTTCATAGTAACTAACTGCTAATGTTAGGGGGTTACATACTAGATGACACCCACAGCCACAAAGAACAGCCTCAAACTTTTGAAATGCAATTATATTTTAGTTATTGGCTTTTTGTTATTATTATTATTCTTTATTATTTTTTTTGACACTGAAAATAAAAAAGATGCTTTCGTGTCAACGTGAAAACCAATTGATCTTGAAATATCACTAATATCAGTCAGTCCTGGTTTTCTTCACCAGCTCGATGTAGTCATAGTAGAGTGTCAGGTGCAGTGGTACCTGTTCTGCAGAGAGAGAGGCTGGTCCCTCACTGGGCTGGACTGGCGGTGAAGTATTCTGAATGGGGACACTGGCTGGTGCTTCTGGTTGCGCCTGATGTGTGGGTGCAGCGACAGGGGTTGTCTCAGGAGTACCGTTTTCTGGGATACTCTGCGAAATGAATGCAACGTTAAAATCTGTCAGACATACAGTTTAGAGATAGATATCTGTGCATGCATTTGATTTGGTTTGTTGTTTTCACTTTTGCAGACAGTCTCACCCTATTCGGAGTGTGGATGGGGGACAGAGCATCCAGGTCTGTCATGGGGAACTCCAGACCGCGTCTCCTCAGATCGTCATATACGTACACCACTCCCGCCAGGGAGGGAGAGCTACGGAACGCATCAGCCCACGACTGTTGGTGGGAGGAAGAACATATGACAAAATACAATGCGATTACCTGATTCAGTTCAGAAATCAGTGTTCAATAAGATATTACAGAGGCCAAACGAGGATTACATGTAAAAAGAACAAGACAACAAGAAAAGCAACATGCCTGACTCTATCTAATGGTATCAGTCTATAGCCACATTACACTTTAAAAGCTTTGGGATGTCAACACATCCTACTTACATACTGAAATATCTCAATACAAGGGAACACTGTCAAACCACTTAAAGCAAGCAAAATAGAAATTTCAATAAAAAATAAATGAATATTTTTGCTGTTAGGACAGTTGGTCAGACAAAACTAGCAACAACTATTTAAAGACATCGCCTATGATACTGGAAAATGTGATGGGGACTTTCTTTCAATTACTTGCAGACAGTTTACATCATATTACCGTCTGCGGGAACATCCACATACCTGTATGAGGCTGAGCACCCTGTCATGGAGGGCAGTGGGGGGGTTGTATTTGGGCAGAATGGAACGGACCAAAACTCCTTCGACGAACTCCTGCGACGCCACCAGAACGTGGAAGCGATGGCCACAGTTCTTCACACAGGCCTCAAGAACCTGTGTGACAGGGATACAGTCCACAATGTAAACAAGGTGTAAATGAAGTTAAATCTCTGTACAGTAATTTAACCACTTGCGTAAGCACACACAGTGAAAACTATATCCCCTAAGCCACAAGCCAATCAGGGCATGGGTCATTCTGGCCTTCAAATTACACTCTCCCACCCTGCGACCCTCAAATCATGAAAGACTGATTGCAACTTGTACATACAATCCCCGACAGATGATTACTCACAGTAAGGGCCAACATGATCTCTTGGAAGTTCTTGTTTCCTACAATTCTCTTCTTAATGGCTCTGACTGAATCTCTGGGCCTGGGAAAACAAAAACAAATTTGCATCATAAGATCAGTATCTTAATATTTAAATATGAAAATAAACAATAATCCTTTTTTTAATGTTTGTTCATGGTTTCATGCCTCGCGTGAAAAAATAGTTAACTAAAAACCTTTGGGGTTTTTTCTTTATAGATCTAACTACTACAAACACATTGCATTTCAGACGTACAGTGACATTCCTCACAGCATTACGAACCAAACAGCAAAAACATGCAGATGTACATACGGTACAGTGTCCTGTAGCGTATGTACTGATTCATCATATAGGTTAGACAGTATGCACCAGATGGGGATAGTTAGTAGCTTCTTGATGAAACCATGTTGCTTGTGTGGGTAACCTACCCCTCGTCCGTCTCATTGATGATGTCACATATCTCCATGTTGAGCCCCCAGTCCTCCGACTGCAGAGAGCCGCTGGTCGCTCGCTCTGTCAACAGAAAGGGAATCATGTGAAGTTATAGTTACACAGTAATACTCAAATGAGAAGAGATACATGTCACAATAACCAGAAAACTATCATCCGATATAATTTCTGCAAGATAATAAGAAGTCACATGGGTCAGTTTAGCGGGTCTTACCAGTTGTGGTGATTCACACCACATGTAAAGACAAAAATGACAAACAATACATAAAATGTGTTGCCTAGACATTTCTGGGTCTGCCTTCAAAAAGGTTGACTGTTTCAGTTATATCCATGGATTTAAAGTGGTCACACACAGCATTGATACTTTAGATTACAGACCTGGACAATTCATTTTAAACCAGAATGTTGCATTGAAAATTACATTATTGTTAAAGGGAAAAACACCCATAGTCAATTAAATCTGATTTAATTGCAAATGTGTTTATCACTTAGAGTCAACTTTTGTATCACACATAGTCATTTGATCCATTATTCACAGTCTTAATGCAGGCTGTAAATAATGTGCCCCTGCTCGGAGATGACTATTTGGATGTGGTTGGATAGTATTGGACTGAAAATGGCCACTTACTGACAGCACAAGCAAACAAATACAATTTTCATCAAATAATAATTCTAAATGGTTTAATAAGCGCCACCATTATTAAACAAGGCCTCACCTAGGCAACCTTTATAATATAAATAATATAGTGAGATCCTTACTCCTACAGATAACACTGTTTTTAAAGGAACTCGTTGTTTATTGTAATAAGCTGATTAAGAGAATGGGTTCTCAGCTGAAACATGGATTTCCCACCAAACTATTTAGCAATCAAAGCCAGCTTTCTTTGCACTCCACCTCTCACAGGCTCCTCATAAGTCTCTAAATCTCCTTAATTCCTTTCCACCTACACCCCCAAGACTTCTCCAAACCCTCACCACTGCCTTTCTCAATCCCATATTACTCCCTACCCCTCACTGCATCCACTCTCTCCCCTCCCCTCCCCTCCCCCCTCACCCCCTCCAGCTCCCTCCACTTCATGTGACTGTCAGCTGCTTCTGTTCTCATTCGCTGCAGAACCAGCTGGAGCCTCCCTGACATTTATGTGTGAGAAAGTAAGTGGATGAGATAAGAGGAAGGAAGGCTAGAGATGGGTGTGGGACATGTTTTCATTACTTAAGGCATCTTTCCAGCCACCAGCAGCTAACCTAAATCCTTTTTGTGGATGTGTTGGCTTTACAGTTTAACAGTTGCTCTGCCATGATGAGGAAAAACTGCTGCTTTGAAAGTTGTGTAACATGCCATATGCTTGTTGAAGAGGACCAGTAACACTTGAGCATAAGGTGTGAAACTGTAGCTCGACAAACTACATCAGTGATTAAGGAAGTGAGAGGAAACATTCACGGCCTCCTTGATTCGCCATATTAGTTGTCGCTTAACGTGCAGCAACCAATGGCGCACAAGATTGAGAGGAATAAGTCCCGCCTCCGTCGAGTCATAAAGACATCTCTTTTATGTTTCTGTCAAATTTGGAGTTCATTATTAAACATTTTAGATTAAGAAAACCAAAATTAAAAGTGTTACTAAGTTGCCTTACATCCCCGGCAGAGTGCTGATAAAATACTGCGACATGTTGCTGATTATTTTTAATTAAATGATGTGAAATTGAGTCCAGCGGCGAACAAAACCTCGCAGAAATAGTTCCAAAAGCAGCTGCGACTTACCGATTCTCTGACCGACGGGCGTTGAAAACGGGTTTCCTATGAGAAACTCCATTTTCTCCCCGAGCGAAAACATCGTCAAATGTCAAACTTCCACTATGTAGTAAAGTAACGTTGCAACTGGTGAGCTCCAAACTGCGGTGTTTCCTTTTGCTCTCAGTGTCTGCCGCTGCCTCAGAAGCGCACGGGCTCGATAAGAGGTAAAATCGGTCACGTGAAAACACACACACACACACACACACACACACACAGCCAGGAAACAGCAGACATCAACACAGAGGAAAATAATCCCATTTACAGCTTTTACACCGTCTGATTAAATACCAGACATGAATATCAAACAAGGGTTTCAGTTGCAGCGCCCAGTTCATTAAACATTAAACTCTCAGAGGTATTCAGGTGAGTACAACAGAAACATATGTAGGACCTATAGACCTGTAGGCTATATATTTTGAATGCAAGTAAGCAGGCCTGTTGTCAACAACCGTTTCACAGTGTTATACTATTGGCAGTGGTGGAAGAAGTATTCAGATCTTTTACTTAAATAAAAGTAGAAAAATACCACAATAAAAGAAAATATTTCAAAGTAAAAGTCCTGCATTCATGTACCAAAACAGTATTGGCTATATAGGCCAATATATACTGCCTCGAAGTTTAATCCATAACAATGAACATTATTTAAACTGTTTTAGGTTTCATGTAAAATCTTCATCTGAAAAGTAAATATAACTGTCAGATGAATGCAGTGGAGGAAAGAAAGTATAATAATTCCCTCTTAAAGTATCACAAAATGGAAATAACTCTTTAGAAATAGCGTGTTTTCTCCCAGTGGACCTTGGTTTGAACCAAGTTTTAGAGTAGTAGTAGAGTGGCAGGCCAGGAAACTTTTTGAAAAGATAGTGATAAATATCCAAAGGGAATAGAAAATATGAGTAGTAGAACATGTTTAGCCTGATGTAAACCATGAAAATGTCTTAAAGGTTCACATTGTGTATAAATATGAGTCTTCTGCTTGAATAGACAGTTTGATCTTTAGAAAGGTCATCAAGTTGAGTTTCTTCTAAGAATTTGGGGGGGATGGGCTCCAGAAAATGATTAACACTTTAAAGTATTTTGGGTCACTCCTTTAAATTGAAGCAATCATGAGACTGTATCTCTTTTCCAAGGATTATGATCAAGTTCTTTATCCTCATGCACAATCACACAATTACAGTGAAGTGAGTCGTTGGCCACAAAATTCTTAGATAACAGCCTCACCTCCAACAGTGCTCTTACAGATATGTATGAGAAATACTGTACGTGGAAAGAGAAATCATGTAGGTGGAACACAATCTGATTAGAAAAAGAGATAAAATAGTACAGCAGCTAAACTACAGGAATATAATACAACATAAAAAAATACATATAATAAAATATAATACCGTGGTAGACAGCAGAGTGATTGTAAAATGTATAAACTGTAATGTAAACAGGTTGTGCAGTAATGAAGTAAACGTATATACATAATGAGAGCAGGTTGTCAACAGGTATGAAAATAAACATAGGCTGGATGGATAAACAGGTAGTAAAATAGATATCTAGACTGTGATGTAAGCATGTGGAGTGCTGTAGGAAAAGTACACAGTACCAGTAAGTATGACTCAGCATGACTCCATCACTGGGGACTTTTTTTTCTTATTTCAACATAGTCTGTCCTGCTGCTATACATCTGAGATCAGATAATTAGATTATTTATATACGAATACAAGTTGATTATTTGTACAGGAAACCGCTGCTTGAACATGGTTCCACACTGGTTAAATTTCCTGCTGAAACAAGGTGATGAAACAACTTTCCTAGCTTCCCTTTTTTTTCTAAATTGTGAAACATATATCCTTTCAGATTGTATTTAATTGCTGTTGCAGCAATGAGATGTTTAATGTAAGGACAATAGTCACAAATGTTGACAAAATGTACACCTCATTTTCACATAGCCTGCTCAATGCAATCACAGGCCGGTAGGACATAAGACCAATGAGAGAATAGCAGCCCCTGTACATGCAGAAGAAAAGGATGGTATGAATAATATGCATATAAGGGGTAGATCAGTATGAACTGTGGTAATTCTGATGAAATTCCACAGCCAACATTTGAGACCATACATGTTGTGGGTGTTGAGTGCTGGTTTAGTTGGACACTTTAATGTCAGCAGCACCACCTAGCGTCCTGAATGCCGCCATGACAATATATTTTTGGTCGGTTGCTTACTGAAAATAGTAATCATATGTTGAAAGGTACTGAGTTATGGTTTATGAGTCTTATTGACTAAGCACTCATTTGTTTGTTTCTCATCTTCCATATTTATATTTTTCTGATGTTCTGAAAACACAATAGAGATTGTTTCAGTTCTTCTTGATTCTTACAGCACAAAAATGTATTACTAGCACTGCCTTTGGTAAAAATCACATAAAAACATGATATTATCCCCACAAAATATAGGGAGTGTATGAAGAAACTGACCTCATATCAACCTATTTTTGCTCAAGTATTTTTGGGGAGTTATGAGCCTTTATTTGAGGACAGACAGGAAATGAGATGTGGAATGACATGCTACAAGGTTCAGGGAAAAGTACTCAAAAACTCAATATATCTGCATATCTAATCATATATAGGACTACATAATGATATAATATTAGTATGTAAATAAATGATTATTCCTCATGCATTAATATGTAAGAAGCATTTTATTGTTGTAGGTTTGTAACACAAAGCTATTATCTGTGTTTGTTTAGGTTACAAAAATATCTGTATTTGTATCTGTATTGGGATTACACCAGGAAGTTTAGCTGCCAACAAACTGATATAGTATTTCAACCATGTACCTGAATTAATCTAATAATAAATTATATTCAAACTCCATTTTCAAATAAATAATAAAAATAATAAGTCTAAACTTAATCTAACTAAAAGCTGTGTAGCTGAAGGTACCAGTGGAAATTAGACTTTGGTGGGAAAATGTCAGAATTGCATTAGGCCATATTACATGGTTTTCTTTATACACTGGAGGTTGCTCATATAACAAGAGGAGGCTCAGATAACTGTAAAGTTGGTCTGAGGGGTCCATGATGAGAGATGAGAAAGCAATAAGACGTGATTAAATAATATGTTTTAAAAAAGGGAGATTGGGAGAAGGGAGAATATACATTTTGTTTAAAATGTCTGTTAAAAATTAGGAAGCTATGGACAAATATTTTAAATGTTCCCATGGCTCATTAGCATGTATTTTTTAAATGGTTCCTAACCTCAGCTTCTGAGTTTTCCTTCAAGTCCACCCAGTGCAGCATTCAGTATCCATCACAAGGCAAATATAATTAAAAATTATATTTTTTAAACTATTTTGATTTGGCTACTAGCTGTTCCACTTTACAGACAACAATTTTTTTTAGTTTTTTTTGGATGACTGTGACACTAAAGAAGAAGTCTGATCTGAAGTGTATGGGATAAGATCTGATTAAGTTTAAGAAGCGCCCTTTTGGATGTGATTTCTAAATGATTTTTATGATGATTTCTGTGTGTTTTTTATTATCGAATAATTCCCATATTATTTAATCCATAAACTGACTCATTGCTTGTTTGTGAAAAATCTGAAAATATTGAGATTGCTGCCACAGTTACTCAGAGCCCAAAGTGACACCTTCACAATGCTTGTTTTGTCATACAAATACAAGCCTCACAATTATTAGAAATGAAGAAAAACAAGTAAAAAGAAAAACAGCAATCCTCACATTTACCATTGACATTTCTGAATGGAAAATGGCAAAAACAATTATCAACCAATTGATTTTCTGTCAGTTGATTAATGTATTAATTAATTCAGCTCTTCTTGTTTATACTGTTGGGTAGTTTAATCTTTAACAAACATAATATTTATAAGTAAGTGTAGTGGAGTAGAAGTATAATTGTGTAACTGCTTCTCAGTTGACCATGTTTATTCATATTATTACCATGTTACAGGCTGACCAGAGAAATGTAACTGTGTGTGAAAATGAGATGCAGTTAGCTGCAAGGATACATATATTATCCATAGGCTACATTTATATATATGTGTGTATTGTAATCGCTATTTCCTTATATGTAATCATACTTTTGTCAAAACCTTTCAAGAACAATATTAATGTGAGCACATCCTGTGTGTCTTTTTGTACTCATGCATTATCACCACTAGATGGCAGCAGCATTGAACCAGGGACCCGAGCTGTCTAGTTTTTGTTGTTCTAGACAAACAACCCCACAATGACAACAAAGACACCATGTACTAATAGACCATGGACTATTATGGTGTATTACCAAAGTGGGGAATTAATTACAATCAAGTAATTATGTCTTTTTTGTGGTAATTCCCACTGATGTAATCCTGACTGAGGAGTTACAGTAATACCTGTCCACACACACACACACACACACACACACACACACACACACACACACACACACACACACCCATTCTTGTATTCTTCCTGCTTTAAAACACAAGAGTCACACAGCATATAGAAAGAGATAGAGCATGTTTTGATTGATCCAGTAACACAACACATTCTTAACAAAATCGGTGAGAATGTGAAGCTAGAAGTTGGTGACCTTTGCCCTCAGAGTTTTTCAATTGATCCACAGATACCCTCAGGCCTCCCTCTAATGCTCTTATGACCCCAATAGCAAAATAAAATTATTGTTTATTCTCAGTTATCACATTTATGAATCTCTCAACCAACAACAAAAACAAATTTTACATGTAAAATAACTACATTTATATTACATAACACTTCCACATCATCTTACCTGGCGCACACCTCTCCTCTTTAAGACACACGGCTCTTCTCAAAGCATTCTGGGCTCAGTTGATCCAAAAGTAAGATTAGAAAGCCCAGGGGGGGATGCTGGCTCACAGTGTGGCCGTGAGGAGGAGAAAACCTGTGTGTTATCTCCTTTCTCCAGGCTGTGCAACCCGGCATAATGTAACAACTTCAAACCCTCACACCATTGTTCACACAATAGGTCCATATCAGGCCCCGTGGCCAATGGCATTCATTCACTGGATTCCTTACAATACATTAGTCAACAGCACATGAAATGTATAGCAGGAAATCATGGAGAGGAACGGTTTACTTAGTGTGTTCATTTCATGTTTGGATAAAAAAGCTATTTTAGAATGAATATTTAAAGGAAACCTCTCTCTTTTCTACACGTTTCCAGCAGGCTCTCACTCCTGTGGTTGATAGGAAAACCACACACATAAGCACGTTTTATTCCACAACTGCCACACAATAAATGGCATTACCCATCCCTAATTTCAGGAGATTAAGCCTAGGAAATTGCATGCATGTAAGAATGCACTTGTGTGTGAATGTGTGTGCGGTTGCACTGGTTGTAAATTGATCCCTCCTACTCTCGCTGGTTCGTTGTGCAGAGGAGGGGCGAGGAGGAGGAGGAGGAGGAGGAGGAGGGAGCTGAAGCAGGAAGGAAGGCAGGCAGAGAGGGAAGGGAGGCAGGCTGTGAATGCTAACAAGCCCCGTCGTAATCATACAGCTCCGTAGGTAGGCTTTGATAAAAAAAAAAAAATAAAAAAAAACCGTCTTGCAATGGAGAGGAACGACGACCACTATTAAACACCTACTATGCGCCAGTGCCGCGTTCGCCCTGTGCGCGTGCAGCAGCCTCACAGTCGTCGGCACGTTTGATCAGAAAAAACCGTCTTTTTCCGCTGAGTGAAATGTATCGCGACTGCTCGGGATTCACATTCTGACAATGGAGATTGAAAATATCGTGGCCAACACGGTTCTCCTGAAGGCAAGGGAAGGTAAGCACAGCTGAATGGCTAAATGAGAATACATTTAAATGTTTGATTTTTTTCCTCCACCTCCACGACATGGCCATGGACGAGCCTGAGCTTTCGGCTGTCCTCCTTGGGATTTATGCTTTCTCCGTCTCCCATCCCTGCGCAGCGCTTTGTCTCCGGGCAAACGTCAAACATATTCCGTTGAAATCAGCTGTTCGTACACTAACAACACACATATTTACCGGGCAGGTTAACGTAAGGCCCAGCCAGCAGGCTGTAGATGAACAACGCAGGGAGTGTTTGCAGCATCGCGCTTTTAAGGCAGCGTTACATTAGAGGCTGTCGAGCAAATTTTTTCACACAAGCACCAGTGGTTTTGTGGATATTTACAATTTACGTTGACATAACGCATATTTAATGTTATTCACATTGCATGTTATTGAGTGTGGACCAAAAGATAGCTGCGCAGTGGGGCTCTGTGCCTCAGTACAGCCCCGTACCTGTCATTATAGGTTTCGGTTGTGTTTAAAGCCCAATTAGGAAGGTAAAGTGAGCGTGTGGTATTATTTGACGCAAAAATACGCCACCGCATTGCCGTTTGGCTGTTGATTGGGAGCCACTGGGACGAATTAATAATATTACAGTGGAGGTTTTAGATGCAGTGGGAGACTGGAAGAAGGCCCACCATGTATACCCCGGCGGCCCAGGCAGTGCTATAGCCCCGGGTGTGCACGCTGCTCAGTGGGCCGGTGATCCCGCAGCAGCTCACCTGGAGGTGGGAAAAGAGGCGAGTATCCATCTGTTTTCCATGAGATGGCAGAGCAGAGAGGCTACTTTGTAGCCAGTGAGTGGGCGCAGGGTGGGTGTACAACACTGTATCAGCTGCCAGAGGAGGGTAAAAAGGTGTTATTACTGCTCAACGATTTCCACTTGTGTGTGTTTGTTTCTTTTCTTTCTCTCTTCCAATCAGATTGGTCACTAGCAAAAAAAGGGTCTGTGGCCTCGGAGGTATTTGTGCAAGTTGATCCATTTTATTCAAAGTAGCTCACAGTGCGAACATGGCTCGGGGGTCGCGGTTCGGTGCGCGTACGCAGAGGCCTTCCCTGCTTATATGGTTCGCATTATATTCGGACTGCGTTTACAAGACCAAACGCCAACACTGCTGTGAAATGGATTATTCACAGCAGCAGTGAATCCATTTCATAGCAGCAGCTGCTCCTTACGAGGCATCAGGCTTTTCTTTACCTGCCGTTAAATGCTGCTTGGTATGTGTTTGCCCGTGAGGTTATTGTACACTGATCGGATCTACAGGCTCACTACCTGTCAGTGTCCTCAGTCTGTGGATCACCAGAGGCTCCAAAAGGCCCTCAGTGATATGTGTGACAGCGTGAACCTTGCAGAGAGTGGAAGGAGCTTGGTATGTCTCAATATGTGGCCCAAGTTCACCATAATGATAATCACACTGAGGTGGTGAGATCTGTGCTGAACCATTTGTTGATGAATCAGTTGGTCATTTGACCGAAAATTGATTGTGGTTTTGATAATTCAGTAATCCTTTTAGTCGTTTCTCAAGTTATTACCAACCAGTTATTTGGTCTCAATAATTGTGAGAACAAATAGGTTTCATACAATTTAAAGGTTCAGTGTGTAACATTTAGGAGGTATGTATGTTTTCATTAGTGTAAAATTATCTGAATGTAGGAATCTTTGCCTTAGAATTTATCTACAGAGGGAGCAGGTCCTCTTCCTCGCTATGTTGAACTGCAATGTTTCTACAGTAGCCCAGAGTGGACAAATCAAACACTGGTTCTTGATGAGGCTGTTCACGTTTTGGCAAGTTTTGCAGCCTCTGACATGCTTGGAATAGTAGGCTGAGGCAAGGCGTAGTAATCTGCAACAGTATTTGCAGCCTTATTTTTTTGATGTGGTTTGTATTGCATGGACACTACTCCGCACGTCAAACATGTTGATTATACAGTCAGTGTTGTTTTTTATATTTCTCCCTGCTATACCATTCACTGTGTTAATTAGCATGCAGATTAAAACAGCTAATAGCTCCCAATTTATCTCTTTAAGGTGCACGGGAGACTAATTTGATTGTAATTTTCCAGAGGTGGGTGTTTGCAGCTGTCAAAAGTGTTTCAGTATGTCACACTGACAGTTGTCAACACTGGCAGTCACCTTCATGCTACATGGCATCGAAGCCCCTGCAAGCAGCAGATGGGTGCAGAGAGGCAGCTGCATGAGCTGCAGCCACTGAGTCAGCAAGAGTTTGCCCTGCTGATGTGTCCTTGAGCAACACATCAAATCAGTTGTGTAACTCACTGTGGAGACAGGAAATAATCATTTCCCAGCTTACTAATAAATATGCATGGTGCATAAACAATCATAGGTTGTGTTTGTTTGCCGATATGGAGCATTCTCAATCCTATAATTAACTCTTGATTAAGAAGATGCTACACCTGTCTGCTGCAGTCTAGAAAACTTTTGAGCGTGGTCATAAGATGCTCATGACTTTAGTCTTGTTAGACAACTTTTACACACCTGTTGATGTGAAACTGGGTGGCCAGATTGAGAAGTGTTATGACAGGGTGTGTCCAGTCTGCCACAGTTGAAATGACACGTCAAGGGAAGTGGTTTGGTGTTGTAGAGATGACACTGCTCCCACCACTCCCCAGCTCTGCCGTTGTGACATTTATACATTCGTTTGGTACAAAACGACAGTATTTAGATTTTTCCTATGCCTTAGGGCCGCTCGGGCTGCAAGAGGTGACAGTTGCAGTCTTTTACAGTCAGAAGAAGTTATTGCTATAGATCCCCTGAGAATATATTAGAGAATTTTGGAAATGGTGTTTTTGAGAATACCAAGAGGATAACTTTTGGCATAGATAAAGCCCACAGTTTATGTGGATGTAAAAGCTCAGCCAAGCATTAGAGAGTTATTTTTGCAACACAGCAGTATGATTCCACATGGTCTCATACAGTAGAACATCAAGAGTATCTCATCAGTAATGGTATTGACAGTCTAAACCCCTTTCACATTAAGTAGTACCCATATTCAATATTTACCTATAAATTGTAGAATCCGACTGAGATATGAGAGGGCCTGTGTTGGCAGCTAATATTGTTGTTATCACAGACCGTATTGGTGCATATATTGGCTGATATTTACAGAAAACTTGTAGTACATAATGCAGTTAAAAGCACTTGAGATTATTTAGAAACAGTGTTATCATAGCTTGTCCCGCAGACTCCACTGTTTACAATACTTTGCAGCACCTGAGTTGGCAGAGCACCCTATCATAGCGGAGCAGATGGCAGAGTGAAGTTTGTTGAGAAAAATTCTGTTTACTCTTCAGCTGTAAAATATCCTGCCTCCATTATATGTATTTGTCAGTGTGCTTTAATGGCCAAACTGGAGGGTCTTTTTGATTTCACAGTTTTCACATAAAAAGATGGTTTATATAACACAGTGAAATAATTGTTGATACAAACTGATATGTGTCTTGAATATACAACTGTATATTCAAGACACATATCAGTTTGTATTTTAATTAGTAGCAAGCTGTGTTGAATAGCCCCTGGGAAATTTATGAGACATTTTCCTCTTTCAGACCTGAAAAGTCAACGGCTACAAACTCTAATCTCAACTATGACGCTGTAAACAAAACAGTGCTGAAATTGTAAATTTCTTCGAGGAAAAATTCACCCCTGTATGCTCTGGAATTATCAGATATATGCAGTCTGCACATTACAGGAATTATTTTGTGAAACTGTTGTAATTTTTCTTTCAGATTGGGCATTTCTTTAAACTTTTTTTGGGCTTTAGTATAACACATCTGTATTATATGATCTACTGAAAGACGATATCTTAAACTATCAATGCACACACTGTGTTGTGCACTGTTTTGTTTTGAGTGAAGATCTACCATAATACACAAGGAGGATCTGGCTGTTGTAGTTTTTTGTTTAGGGTACTGCTCTAGAAATTCTTAAATTGGACATACCAACAAAACCCCATCAGTTGGTTACTCCTATGGATGATATTGTTATATTTGTGGATGGTGCCACTGCTTATACATCAGGAGGAGATTGCCTTCATTTCCCAGAATACCCATTGAGAGCCAATGTTTACTTCTTCCCTTCAGCTGTGAGTTATAAATACAGTAGAGGTAGAGTGTAATGGTGGGTGCACGGTCACAGCACGACAGAGATAATTCTTCCAGTTGAGGAAAGTTAGTTTGCAACACTTGACATATTTTTAGCTTAAACAATTCTGCAGTTAAGCTTTAAAGTAGATAGACTGGTATTGTATTGATGTGACGTAAAGTTTTCAATATCTGTGAATAATGAACGTGCACTGTGGGAAGTACATCATGTCCAACATCAAGTGTTGTAGGATGAAATCAGAATTTGGAGGTGATAAAAATGGCCAGCTATTCAGTGAAATAAACTGGTGTTAGTACTAACTTGTTTGCAACAGGGACATGAACATGTGTTCACCACATACTATATCTCTACATATTCAAATGTGAAGAGTGACTGGACATAAAGAGCATTTCACCCCTCTTCACCTCTCTTCCTGGAATCAGATTTGACTATCTGTCAGATCTGCTGTGTTTCTTTCATCACTCCTACTGTCTTCATAAAAAGGAAGGAATGTGGACAGTCCCGTGCTTACAGGAGAAACGCTATCCTGCTTGTATAACTTCATTTCAAGCTTACAAGTTGTTTTTTTTGTTGTTTTCAGCTGTAGAACATTACCGATGTAAGCGGATATACCTCTGCTGTTGGTGTCACTAACCTCTCTCTGCTCTCTGCCCCCTCTCCACCACCCTTCAAATTGTATGCTAGCAGGTCCTCTCAGACCGCTTGTGAGGGTTTTCCTGTGACGTAGCCAGCGTGGCTTTATTAGTTTTGTGGTCATTGCTGGGCTAACACTTGTTGTCATCACTCTGGGGTGTTTCCTCCAGCTGAGGCTCATAAAATGCATTGCTTTGTGACTGTCCCTTGATGTGGGA